CGACGTGGTCTGCACGCGGCGCCGGCGCCTGATCTCGGCCGAAATGGCGACGGCAGCCGCCGCGAGCGATGGCATGGGCTCGGGCAGTTCTTCGAGCTCTGGGCCCGTCGAAGTTCGACGGGTCCGATGTGAGTGCCCGATGAAAGGCAGCAGGCCGAGGAGGGCGCCAGCGGCGGCAGGCTTTGCGTTGCCCTTCGGGGCGGGAGCGCGCCAGCCCGGCGGTGGAGAAGCCAGGAGGGCGCCGGCAGCTGCGGGGCCTGCGCGACTCCTCGGGGCGGGGGGCCCGCCCGGGCGCGAGCCCGTCACGAGCCGCGATCGCACGCTGACGGGGCGCCGGCCGCAGCGCGCCCCAGGGTGGCCGCCCGCGCAGGCAATGGCCAGAGACGGTCCAGACTCGGCAGATGAGGGCCGCGCCCAGGTGGCAACCATGCGTCGAGGACCCCGCTCCGCGCGCGGACGCTTCCGCCCGCCGCGGGCGGGAGGGGCCCTGGCGGCGATGGTCGCATTCGCGCTGCGGGGGCCCCGTGGCCCTATGGCCGACGGGCAGGGTTTCGGCGGCACGCGGGCCGCCCCTCTTGCCGAGCCAGGAAGTCGTCGTTCGGTCCGCAGTCCGGGCAGGCACGGAGATGCGGCGCACGTTATTCTAATGGTAGGGAAACAGCGCGCACCATCGCATCGGGGGGGGCTGCGGGCGCGCGCGCCTTGCGCCGCCGTGCTGGCAGTGCTAGCCCCGCCCAGCGCGTCTCCGACGACGTCGCGCGGGCGCAGCTGGAGGCGGCTGAAGCAGCGCGCGGGGCCCCGCGCGACCCTTCCCAGCGTCAGGGCGCGTGGCGCGCCCGCGGGATAGTTTTGAGGGCGACCGCGCCCACGCCCCCTTTCGCAACTTGCGCGGCGCGGTAGGGCGGGGCGGCGGTGTCTGAGGGGCGGTGGCCAGAGGAGCGAGGTGTGGAGGTGGGCCTCGACGCCAGCAGCGTCCGGCGGGGGGGCCCGGGATCCGCTCCCCGCGCTTCCATGTTTCCGCCCCCCCTTCGTTGGCGACCCGCTCCCATCGCAGACGGGGGGCATCCAGTTCTTGGGAGTGGCTGGGGCCACAGTCACTGCGCACATGTGCCCCCGCTTCCGCCACCCGTAACAGAGGCATCAACGTCACCCCCGGCCTCTCGTGCACCGCCATCGCATCACGTTCAGGGCTCGACGTTTGTGGCCATGTGGGCTTAAGCGCACTGCCGATTTTGAACAACCCAGTCAACGCCCTGGGACATCAAGTTCCTGGGAGTGACTGGGGCCCCTGAGCACAGGGCTCATATTACCGCCACCCCGTATACAGGCATCAACGTCACCCCTGGGCCCCTCTTGTACCGCCACCGCACCGCTAATAGGGCTATTCGAGGATGGACATACGTGGCTCTGCGCAACGCCAGCACTGCGTTCGTCGTCGCGTGTGGCTTAATACTAGGCTGCCGAAAGGGTGCTGCGCGTAGTTGCCCCGCTGATAGATCGTCAACAAGATGGTGATGATGAGGTCGTCGCTCGGGTGTTCGACGCGTACCTTCTGGCGGGATGCCCTTGCTTTGCGGTGCCAAGGGCGAGGTACGCCGGGCAATGCTCGTCCGTGGCAACATACGCACAATGTCTAGGCAATGGTGCGCCCTGTTGGGACCTGAACAGAATGCTGAGATTGGCGCCGGAAGTGTCCAGGGATACCCGTGGACGGCAGGACGTGGAGGAACAGCCAGGACCGCGGCCGACTAGGTCATGGGATGAATGGGATTTTTTACGCGTGCGCGGGTGGGGTGCAGCGGGGGGGCGGGATGCGAAAGAGTTGCATCATGGTTCCCATCGGAGCGGCAGCGGCAACGGGGCAATGGCAGCGGCGGCATCCGCGCGCGCGGCGCGGCACGAAAACCCTTGCGCGCGGGAGTGGGGAAGCCGCCGCGGTCGCAGGCCCTAGTGTGCGTCTCCCGTTCTTTCTGCCGCCGCGGGGCCAGTTGTGTCCCGTCTGTCGGCCTTTTTCGTTGCTGTCGTGCGTCCGTCCTGGTCTGAGCGCGGTCGGGGCCGTAGCATGCGTCATCCAGATTGGCACCCAGCCCCAGTTCTCATGTTTTCAAGCATGCGCGCCCAGTGACAATTATAGGCAGACGTTCCCCAGTCAGATGCGCCTCTCTGTGATTCATCGTTACCCCTCGCCCTCCCACTCGTAGTTGTACTCGTAGTCTTGCCGAGGGAGGCGCACAGTGGGCCTTTTTCCCGGGCATTCCGCAGCGCATGGTCACAAAGGACGTGTCTGCTGCAACAGTTGGCACGCCTTACCCAGCACCATGCTCATCTCCGTGGCACGGGCTGCGCACGGCCGCCGATTCGCGATTGACGGCAGCGGATTGCCGTCCTGTTGGAGAGGGGCATGGCGGTGCTCGTCTCCTCCGCTCCTGCACCAATGTCCCAGGAGTGGCTCGATGGTGCACCTCTGCTTGCACAGGTGGTCGCATAGATTCTTGTCTGCACAGGAGGGTCCAAAGCTGAATGAGGCCTGAGAAATTGCGTGCCCACCGAGGGATAGGACGGGACGGAGGGTGAGGGTACGAAGGGGGATGTCGACATTCAGAACGAGTCCGACTTTGGTGCGTTCCAGGAAGGAACCAGGGAGGATGCATGTTCTTGTCGAGGAGGAGGATGAGGAGGAGGAGGAGGCGGAGGATCAGAAGCAGGAGGAGGCAACAGGAGGCGATTTGGAGCCGAATGCGCGACTTCGTGAGCGGGAAGGCGGAGGGATTCGGAAGCAGTCATTGGGGGATGCGGCCGAGGCGCACCCAAACACGGCAAAGAATCGCTTTGGTTGGGTCGAGGCTGATCTCGACAAGAACGTGAAAGGTTATGGGGCTTTCTTTGGCAATCTTGATGTTGATCGAGTAGACTTGATGAAGATTGAGTAGACTTGATTAACCTCCCTGGGTGGAGCGAAGTGGAGTATACAACTGCCTGGCGGCTCCCTGTTTGCTCTGTCGATGGGGGTTGTGTCATCGACTATTTGTGATACGCAGCTGTTCCGCATTCTGCGCGCCATAGGGTCCTCGATCAGCCTGTGCCCCCCAGGGCCCAGGGACATCAAGCCTTAGAGTACGACAGGGCTCTGATTTTGTTTCGGCTGCCGTAGATCCCTATGTTGTTGCCAGGCGTTGGACATTCCAGGTTCCAGCCCCCTGGAGCCGACGATGCATGGCGGGACCTTGGACCAGCGGGCGCCTGAAGGAAGTACTGGAAGTTAGATTTGGATGTGTTTATGACAAATGGTGATGGATGTATAACGGTCTTCGTCTTCCTCCCTCCTGCTTCTACTTCTTATTTGCGCGATTACACCACGTCATCTCCTCGTTTCCTCTCTTCTTTTCCGCCTCCTTGTCCGGCCGCCACTCTGGAGAGTGGTTCGTGGATTCTTATGCGGAGCTCGAGCCCGGGGATTGCCCCTATATTCCCTATCAGTGGTATCACCAGGTGGCGGGGGCATGCCAGCCTTTACCCTTTGCAGCAACTCTGCGAGCGTCGTCCCCAGGGCTCGGCATCTTCGGGCGGCTTGTGCGAGCGCTGACAGCATTTTCCTCTGAACAGCGAAGCCTCTGTGGGCGGATTGTCCATCGCACTGTCTTGGTGGACGGGGGATTCCTGGCGCATCGCCCCAGCTCTGCCACTCCCTCTGGCAGTTTGTTGAACGCCGCGGGGCAGCAACATGTGGCTTTCATCGCTGTGCGCCCGTAGGATAACTACCCTACCACGCGACTCCCCCATGCGTGCAATCATTGAGGGCGAAAGCTTATTATCGTTCGTGCAGTGGCCTTGCAGCTTGTGTACGTGCAGCCATCGTAGGCGGTGCGATGTGATGTTGTGATATTTGTTCCAGCAGGTGCAGACAGGTAATCATAACCATTACAGTATGCCTGCAGCCAAAATCATCTGGTGATTTCCCAGTTGTTTTCGGCAAATCCTGCCACTGTGCCAGCGCAGTGCCTACATCCAGGTGGAGAGGCGAACCCGGGAATCGCCGCCAAACTCGAAGTTATTGCGGTCGAGGCCTGGAACCACTTGAAAAGCGTAACCCGGAATCCGCACCGAAACCTGGAGTTCCGCGCGAAACCCGGAAACCACGAAACCCAGAGTCCGCACCGAAACCCTGAATTCTCTGCGAAACGCGGAATTCCTCGGGACCGAAACCTGGAACCCGCACTGAAGCTTGGCATTCTGCGCAAAACCCGGCCGACCCCCGCAGTCGCGCAGGAGGGCAGGGCTCTTTTCGTCTCTCTTTGCTTCGGCTGCCTTCCTACGTTGGTGAGACTCTAGCGCGGTAGCTGAAGCGCTCTGGTGGAAAGCAACAGTGCGCGGCCGATGTAGGCAAATCGACTCACAAATCAAGCAGACGATGCATTCAGTAAAGGTCAGGCAAGCCGAGAAAGAACAACACACACAGCCCTAGAGGGTATAGAGTAACGCCGCATCGTGTGCTAGTGCCGCACGTGCAGGCCAGGTCGCTTAGCCTCCCACTATAGTAAAGACCTGCGCGACGGATTGACTTGATAGAGAGAGATGGAGAGACAGCGACAGAAAGAGAGAGAGAGAGGGCAACGCAGCTAGACAAGGATAGATATAGACAAATCCAGAATTCGTCTAAACATGAAATAGCATAGTCAGGCTGGCTCGATGCAGGCTAGCCAGGTGATGTGGTTCCGGCTACCTCCTCCTCTCACTCGAGCTGCCTCCTCCTCCCACCCAAGCTGCCTCCTCCTCCCACTCAAGCCCGAAGAGGGCTCTAGGAGAGGCCTAAGGCTTCAAGAGGGCCTCAGGAGGATTCCAAGAGGGCTCCAAGATGAAGCTCCGAAGCCACACAGTGTGTCATACTGTGCGTTTGGGCTGGACTCTCTTTCGGCCATTTTGGAGTTGTGGAGTCCTCTTGGAGCCTCTTGGGGTCCCAAAGGTTTCGTCCAGGCCCGTCCCAGACGGATTGGGAATGCTATAGCCATTCTGGCTGAAGTCCCCGGCCAGGCATGTGGGCACGGTGGGCGCCGCCCAGCGAGGTCTCCCCCGGTTTCCTTTTCGCAATGGAGGGCACATGGCCCTGGACCGGCGGCGCCGCCCAGCCGCCCGCGCCCGCAAGCGTCCCTCTTCCGTTGATGCTGCTCCTCACGCCGTCCAGGGCGGACCAACAGCGGCTCCCGACCGGGCCCCAGATCCCGAGCTGGGCGGCGGACTCGGAGGGCTACGAGGTCCAGGCGCCTCCCGAACTGGCCGCTGCCGAAGTGGACGAGGACGAGGATGACGAGGAGGCCGGCTCGAGGATGTCCGCCGCGCGCCGTCGCACCATCCGCCGCCGGATGTTGCGCAGGGGTGCGCTCGCCCGGGCCCGCCGCGACAGCCAGCTCACCGGGCCTTCCGCGACCACGTCCGCGGAGGCGGACCTGGCGGCCGGAGCGGCGTTTGTTATCTCGCTGTAGGTCGCCTCGAGGAGGAGGAGGAGGAGGAGGAGGAGGAGGAGGAGGAGGAGGAGGAGGAGGGGCGGGGGGGGGAGGGGGGGAGGTGGAGGGCACCACTGCGCGCGGTCCCCTGCTCACGACGGCTGCCCTCTACCACTGGCTTGCCGCGGAGCCTGACCTCGCCCTATTTACTTTTGCACATTCCACATCGGCCCGTCGCTGTGGCGCCACTCTTCGCACTGGACTTGCGAAGCGGCCCCTCACACCAGACAAGCAGCACAACGGTGCAGCGCATCGACCGACCCGATCTTCGAAGTCCGCTTCGCACGCAGACGCTTGAAATCTGGGATAGTAGAGTTCGGTACAATAAGTGACAGTTTAGTCGTCCTCCCTCACGATTGTCGGGCGTCCCGTCTAGAGGCAGTGTGGCTCGCTCGCCGCGAGCGTCCAATTGTCGTTTTTACCCCCTTCCTTCTCTCCTCATCCCCTTCTTCCCAATGCTGGGTAATTATCCTCTTCCTCCCTCCAGCCTGTGTTCCTTTCTCTGGCACGCAATGCGCAGAGCCGAGCAGGGAGAGAGAGAGTCAGCGCCAGCGCACTGTCTTAGTTCGAACCCATTGCGTCTCTCAGCGCAATATCGTGCAGACGCTGGGGCGCGCGCCCGAAGGGAGAAGGAGGGAAGAGGGAGGAGGAGGGGAGATAAGCGGCAGAACATGAAAAGGTAGTGGAGACCCATACGGCCGCATGAGCGACGAGGAGCGACCGCCGTCCATAGTGGGCGAACGAGCCGCTGGCAGGAGGGCTCGCTTTTCAGCCATCTCTGCTGAAACTCAAGCGTCACGGGGCGGCCGCACCCGTCGATGAACGTTCCACGTCCTGGTTGCGGGGGCCTTCCCCACCCAGGACCCCCTTTCTGTGCTCTGCGTACACGCTTTTGCATGCAAAGTCCACCTTCAAAGGCTCGATCTGCTTCTGTGCAGAGTTTCACCTTTTGCTGACGCGCTGTGGCCGGCGGACCGTTCGTTGGTGCGGCGGCGCGAGGGTGCGAAGACGCCCGCGCGCCGCGCGGGGGCGACGGCGCGGGGCGCGGCGCGCGGCGAGCTGGGAGTGTCGTGGAAGTGCCGCCGCGCCGTGCTTTCCCCGCCCTGGCTTCCCTCGCCTCCAGCAGCCCCGCCTTTGCCTCGCCAGTCTCGGCATCGCTCGGGCCATCGAGAAACATCCTGGACCATCTTGCGAAACGTACACGCGCGGCATCGAGAAATGCACGGGGACTGGACGTCCGAGCGATGAGGAGCAGCAGGTCTTCGGAGTTCCCGCGGGGATCGTGGATCTGTACCGAAAGCCCAGGGGCGGCGCGGGGCTACCAGCCGAGCGCAGCTCCAGGACGATCTCGTGCACGGGTGGCCCTCACGCCCGCCCACCTTCGCTTCCCCGCCTCCACCTACCTCCCTCCCTCTTCCTTTTTTGTGTTCTCTCTCTCTCTCTCTCGCGTTCTCTATGTCTCTCTCTCTCTCTCTCTCTCTCTCCCCCCCTTTTCTCGGGGCGGCGTGCGCCGCCTGTGCCAGAACGGCCAGATCCGCGCAGTGGAGCTGCCGGTGTCTGGCGTGGCTCGCTCGCGCGGCCATCCCACCCATGCCTGCCCGGTGGGCCCAGCTGCTCAGGGCTTCAACAGTTGAGCGACGCAGAAAAACGAGTTCGTCTGTGCCGACAGTCGCGCGCAAGTTGCCTTCGTAAGGTCCCTCGCAAGCGCCCTCGCTTCCCATCTGGCGTGCCGCGCCGGCGGCCCGCGCAAGCCACCGCGTGAGGTCACCATGCCATCTTGCGTAGGGCCCGTTTTCTGTTCGTCGCTCCTGTGCTTGGCATGGCGCGCGTCTGTCAGCGAAGTGCGCCTGGCACGCCGCGGCTTCCCCTGGCCAGCGGGCCGAAGCCCCTCTGCTGGCCGCCCGCAGCCGTCGCGCTTCGAGGCTACGGCGCAGTGCATGGAGGAGAAGCCCAGCCATCGCAGAGGACGGGCGCGCAGGGGGTTGGCGTTGCTCGCGCGGCCGTCCCGCGCGGCCGTCTTTGCCGTCCGCCCGCCTGGTCGGCCCCAACTGGGGGGGCGCCCTGCGTCGGTAGCAGCGGAGCCCCTGAGGCGGGGCCCCCTCGGCCAGCAACGTGGCCATGCGCGCCGCGTGCCCCGTCGCGGTCTCGCGGCGCTCCTGGCCTCGCGGCCGTCGCAGCGCCACTGCGCGGAGCATCAAGAGAGACGCGTGGGCAGGAGAGCGCGCGATTGGCAGTTCTTCTGCAAAAAAGCGGATTGGGAAGGCCTCAGAGTGGGCTTCAAAACGGCCCCAGGATGATTCCAGGAGGAGGGAATTCCAACGCCACACAGTGTGACGCAATTGTTGTGTCACACAATGCGTTTTGCTTGTGCTTTATTGGGCCCTCTTGGAACCTTTTTTGGTGACCTCTTGGCCACAACGGAAGAGGCCGAAGAGGGCTCGAAGAGGTCTAAGAGGGCCCTGATAAGGATCCAAGAGGTCGATGCCGTCCTCCATCTTGGCTGCTATAGCGTGTCTTCGCGCCATTGGCTGTCTCTCGGTTACGAGGGCGTCCTTCGAAACGCGTTTCCCTTGGGCCAAGACGGCTACGGGGGTCAGGGGGAAAGAGGGAGGATAAGGAAGACGAGCCACGAGTCAGAAGGAGGAGGAGGAGGAGGAGGGAGGAGGGCGGAGGGAGGAAAGGGGGTAGGATGTAGGATGCCTGGGAGGACGAGCGAAGAGATGGAGGAGGAGGAGGAGGAGGAGGAGGAAGAGGAGGAGGAGGAGGCGGTCCGTAACAATTTTGGCTGCAGCCGTTCTGGCACAAGGCATGGGCTCGAGGGGGCTCCCTTTCTCTGGCAGCGCCATGTCCTGTCGCTGTTCGGCTGTTCGGCGTCAGGTCGCCGAAGGGTCCCCACAAAATGTTTGCGATATCCCCGCGGCGGTCCTGCCAGTTTCCGCAACGTCGCGGGGGCAGTCTTGGCAGCGGGGAGATGGCAGAGGCCGAGAGCACGGAGTGGTCGGGCGACGGGGCAAACCGGAACCCGCAGGCAAAGGTGTCCACAGGGGTCATTGTCAAAGTTGCGCGTGCAAGAAGACGCCTTGGAGCCAATGGTTTTGTAAGCACTGCCAGTCATCACGGTCACATCATGGTCAGAGGTCGCCGAGAGTCAGGATGCAAATGTGGTTTTGGTTGTGCTCGACAGCCCGCGTGGCATCGCGCCGACGGCCTCAGGGCTGCAGGCTCCGCCAGGCGTCACCAGTTAGGAGCCCGCGTTGTCAGACGAGGAGGTCGACAGCTTGCGCATGCTGGCGGCGAAGATGGGGGACAAGAAGCACGAACAAACGGGCCAATGCGTTCGTGAACACAAGAAGAAATGTGCCATGGCGCCGAAGACATCACCGTTGCAAGCACAGGCCCAGCATGCCCATCAACGTGTTCAGCAGCTTGAGGCGAAGCTCAAGCAGGAGGCCGACAAGTACGAGTACATCCAGCATGCGCTGGTCGAGCAGACATCCCTGGACATCCTTGGCCGGGCCCCCCACGGAAAAACTCGAGGAGGCGGATGGCCAGTACGAGCGGTTGTTGGGCAGCTTCCACAGCAACGTCGTCGGCAAGCAGGCGGCCCCGCCGCCGCGTACCTCCGCGTCCAAGTAGCTGGAGAGCGACCTCTCGTGCTTCGACCTCGGGGGGTGCGACGCCCTCTTCGGCCAGGTGCAACGCTCGCTGCACGAAGCGCCGGGCGAGGACCGCAAGCAAGCCGCGGGGCGCCAGGAGAAGATGCAGAAGGGGATCCCGGTTCTGGCGATGATCTTGTTTGGCACTGTCCAAGACTTCGCCAAGGGCTCGCGGCCCGATCGCGCGGAGCACGTCGAGAAGCTGGCCGCCGAGAGGCGCGAGACCGAGGAGGAGCAGTCCGCGACGACGGCTGGCAGCGGCGGCCAGGCTGGCCCAGCGGCCGCGCCTTCAGGCGCCGCTGGCCCCGCTGGCCCCGCCGCCGCCGAGGCCAGCGGGGCCGCGGCGGGCAGTCGAGGTGGACTCGAGGGCGGCGAGCGAGCTAGAACGTCCTCGCCCCCCTCGCGCAGCAGAGCGATGCGCGCCGGGCTGCGCGCGCAGCTCTGGCCAAAGGCGCCGTTGGGGGGGGGTGGGGGGGGGCCTTCGCAGGCGGCGTTGGGGGCGCAGCCGCAAGCCAGATCGCCCCAGGAGATGGGGGATCGAGCGGGCGGCTGGCTTGGGGGGGTGGGCGGGGGCGTCTGGCAGCGTGTCGGGTTGCTGCCTGGCCTTTTCTTTCTCCTTCCGCCGTCGCCCATGCCGCCGCCGCCTCTCAACCGTGCTCAGCGCGGGGCCCCAGCTGCCGTCGCATCTCGTTCCAGGTAAGGCTGAGGCCGAGAAGTTGGCCCCCTTGCGCACTCGGCCATGCCAGGCGTCGTAGTGGCACTTCCTTTGGAGACGAAAAGGGGCGCGCTCCGAAATTCGTTCCAAACGAAATTGAGCTATTCTTGATGGTTTCGGTGTGCAGGCGCGCCCTGTCGCGCGGTGGTTCCCATGCGCATCTTTGAGCGCGCTGGCGCATGACGCGAGGAATTCGCTCTGCACGTTGCGAGGGGGAATTCGCTTTGCGCGTCGCGTGCCAATCGCGCGTGGCTTGAGCTACTTCGCAGACGCTTTCTGGCCAGGCCCTTCGAGGGCCCTCTCAGGGCCCGCCGGGGCCTCCGACGGCCCGGAGCTCCCGGCAGCCATGGTCGACAGTTGGCAAAAGCAACGCCGCCACAAGAGCCGTCGAAAGGGCCGCCGAAATTGTCGCCGAAAGGGCTGCCGAAAGTGCCGTCGACAGGGCCGCCGAAATTGCGGCCGAAATTGCCGCCGAAATTGCCGCCGAAATTGCCGCCGAAATTGCCGCCGACATTGCCGCCGAAATTGCCGCCGAAATTCCTGATTGTGCCGCCGAAGAGAGGCCGAAATTGACTTAGGCTGTGACTCACTGCCTGTGTCCGCGGTGTCATCGAGCTTGATTAAAATAATGATTTCGCCTGGGACAGGGCGATGATAATTTCGGCGGCTGAATTTCGGCGGCGATGTTGGCGGCTGAATCTCGGCGGCGATTTTGGCGGAGTTCGCAATGATTTCGGCGGCGGTTTCGGCGGCGATTTCGGCTGCAATTTCGGCAGCAAGTTCGGCGGCAATTTCGGCGGCAATTTCGGCGGCGATTTCGGCGGCGATTTCGGCGGCAATTTCGGCAGCGATTTCGCCGACGATCTCTGCGGCCCCTTCGGCGGCCCTCCTGGTGGCCCTTTCATGGACCATGTCGGCGGTTTTGCTTTTGACAGTTGTCGACGAATGCTGCTGGGAACACGCAGCACTCGGCTGTGGCAAAGAGTCGATGTGCGGCGACGCAGGCTGACGTGCCCTCAGCGCGATGATGAATGTAACAGTTGTTCTCTTGTGGTCTTGGCGGTGATGATGGTGACGGCCGCGGTGATGTTTGGTTTAAAATGGATGCTCACCAGGGGGCGTCGCAGGCGGGCCTGCTCGCCCAGCATTGCACGCTCAAAAAAACAAAAAAAAGTACCGCGCAACTCCTTTGGAATTCGGCGGCTATTTCGGGGGTCGCGGTGGCTCCAAAACATGGTCCTCGGTGACAGGCGGGGCCTGGGATCGCTCAGTCTCGGCCTGACCGGAGGGGGTTTTTCTCAGAGGAGACCTGCAATTCTATTTGTTGGAAGTCGGTGAAGCAGCGTCTCGGCGGGGAATGTCAGTCTGGCGCACTGGATTGCACTGAGTGGCTGTCGCTTGAAGCCAGCGAGCGCCAGGGGCGCGAACAAACACTTCGGGGACATGGTTGGGATGTCAGCCTTCCGCCTTCCATAGTTGCAGATGCAGGTGGCCGGCCATCGCCGGGGGCCGCTGCAGCATGCGAGAATTTCATCGGCATGGGCATGCCGCCGTCTTCAGCACGAGATCTCCCATTTAGACACCACCGGGCGCTGAGGTGGATCTATGCCTTCGTGCCGGGCGATTCCATGATCGGCTTGACCTATTTGCCCGGCCGAGACCCGCGAAGCCCAGAGGGTTCTCAAATACTCAGTCGCCTAGAAGAGCGCCCACTCAGCATGGGGCCCCCATTCATCCTGGGAGGGGATTGGAATGTTTCGCCTCGCAGGTTCGCGGAGATGGGGGCGGACTGGAAAACTTCGGGGAGGGGGGGGGGGTTGTTCACCCGGCGTGGAACACTACAGTTTTGCGATGTCGAGAGGTCGAGCAGTGGATGTTCAGTCGTGTCGCATCGGCGGGAAGTCTTCGACGCAGCCGCGCTGGCCGGCCACCGTCGAGGTTAATGTCAAGCCGATGGGGCACTTGGGCCCAGATGTTTCAGAAGACGGCAGCGCTTCTCAATGACGTTGTTATACGACCTAGGCCCGAGACCAATGAATGCCCGGGGCTGCTCCGACAGGCGCAGCGACGAGGTGGTCCGGGGATTCTGGATGCGCGTTGTCAACAGTTTGCGATGGCCCTCGATGCCGAGCTGGGGAAGTCCCACGGGGCCCCCAGTCTGAAGAAGTACTTCGGGAGGCCCATGGGGCCCGAGTTCGCCCAGATCCCAGCTTCGAGGACTTTTGGGGGCAAGTGTCCTGTAGGATGTTCTCAGATCAGAGGATCGAGGGTGGTCTCAATCTGGTTCCAGCAACTCACGCGCCTCAGGAGCAGCGCTTCGGAGTGGGGGAATGCTTGCGCTATGGGGCCTTGAACCAGATGCGTCGAGGGCCCCGTCAGCTTCGCGGCGGTAGCGCACGGGAAGGCTGGCAGCCGCCCTGCGACCTGGTGACGCGGGCAGGTGCTGTGCAGCTTGGAGGCTGGAGAATTGAGGACAGCAGAGTTGCCGAGTCGCTCGAGCGGGCGTTCAGCTCCGAGCGATCAAAGCAGCGGCGCGACCGGGTCGAGCAGGCAGTTGCCAGCGGGGGG